CGCATATATAGGATATTTATTCATTATATTTGGACAAAATGCAATTGCTGCAAATGTCCACTTCTATGAGTAACACTTTGAGACTTAATCCTCAGTTGGATGTRATGGCTCACATGTTACACAAAACAATAAAGCAAATTCCAGTTTGAAACTAAAAAAATAAAAGAACTGAGAAAAAAAATACATTTGCATAACGTTAATTCAAGATAAGACTTTAGTCTGAAATCAATCATTGACCATTAGCAGCACAGATACACATAAGAAGGCAGCTTGTTAAAACATCAGTGATAAAACAGGCTGATATTTAACACATGAAGTTATCAAAATGTATATTTTTTTATAACAAGCACCAGTTCTTGTGTAACAGTGAAATATTTCACCAAATGTAAACAGGTCAGTAAGATAGTGGGTTTAGTTTGCAGAACAGTCAGATTTCGCCCCTGCAGTTTAAATCAGAGTATTATCTCTAGGTCATAAGCAATTTTTTCTTTTTTAGTTTTCTTGACGGGTTGCTCAACCGGACAGATAACGACCGGATTCTCCTCTTCTTTGACAACGATTTTATTACTGCTGACGGGAACCTTGTTTAAAATGTATTCATAATTTCTCTGAACGTGAAGCAAGGCTGAGGTGAGGTACTGAGGGGAAAAAAGCTTCAGGGAAGGTGGGAGTTCTGGATGTTTGGGGAGATGTGGCTGTACAACCACAGCAGGGCTGTCGAGCACCGGCGACGTCAGGTGAAACGAGGCAACAGGGTATCGTAGGAAAGTGAATACTGGGATGGGTGGCGGGGGCACGGGAGAGGGTTTCACTGACATCAGCCCACGTCTATTGACAAAAGGCCTTTTACGGAGAAGGTTGGGTAATGGTTTTGGGTCAGGACCAGGAGGCGTATCCATGACAGAAGCAGATGGTGGAGGTGTATTATCAACGATTTTTGTTATCTGACTTGGCTCCATCTTTTCTGGGTTCAAATTACTCTCCAAATGTTGCTCTTTGGAACTGGAAGACTCATCCTCGGAGTCCGTTTTGGTTTTCTGAATACACGGCGTAGGCTGAAAGAAAAAGTGGTTGTGGCGTCGACAGAACAGCACGCCGCATCGGAGGCACTTCCTACTATCTTTGAGGTGGAGGATTTTGTGGCGCTTGAGGTGGTGAACGGCAGTGAAAGTTCTATCGCACATGTTGCACGGATAGGACAGCTCGACCCTGGAGACCTGCTGGGGCTCAGGGGACTCTGCTCGACTCAAGTCAGAGGAATTTTGTTCTTCAGGCTGCTGTTCGTCCTCCACGGGCTCAGAAACACCGGTGCATGCCGTATCATGATTTTCACGTTGATAGACGTCTTTTGGTAAAACTAAAGGCTTTAGGACCACAACTGGATGCAAATATTTTAGTCGTGAGAGGACTTCTTGTGGTTTTAAGCATGATGTCAAGTTTAAGCTGGATGTTTCTTGCGATTCAACTTTTTCTGGTTTAGTCGCATCTTCGGTCAACCCATCCTCTTCCTAGATGACAGAAAAACAAAACAAAACAAAACAATAAATTCATGTGCTAGTAGTAGCATAAATTAAACGACAGCGATTTCATGTAACCTGAGATTATAATATATTAATAAGTGACAGCTGCTACCTTTGGCACTGATGAAGGTGGCTGAGTTTGTGCTGAAACCTCATTTTCAGTTTCCATTGGAACATCTTGGAGGTTCACGGGAGACTCGGGTCCAGCTTTTATGTTCTTTTTTCCTGCGTTGTTGCGTCCACTGAGCTTTTTTTTACAACCCATAATCCTTTAAAACAAAAAATAAGTTATTTCCCAATAAGAACTTTTGTTTTCTTTTTTCAATTGTAATAAACAAGAGTCTTTAATTATGTTACAATTAAAGCAACAGTCAGTATTATTCATCTGTAACAAACATCCTGACATCTTCCTGGACTGATGAATAAAAGGTTGAGGCACATTCTGTTAATTTTTATGGGGAWAACACATTTGGAATATCTTACCAATAAATGAATAACCTCCTAGGACCTGGCTCCACAATGCATGCAATGCAAGAATTTGTATTTTAGGACCACAATAAATTAGCATTTTTTTGCCACTGTGCCATCATTTTTGYTAAATTCTTTGTGCATGCATGAAGGGAGGTGCAGCTTTTCACTCGGCACKGGGAATGGGGCTCTGAGGAGAAAAGGTTGGGATTCAGTGACCTAGAATAGAGCGCTTTTATCACAGTGACAAACGGGACGTTCAGCTACTTGTGCAATGTTTACAATGTTGTTGATGAAAAGAACAAGCCTGTCAGAACGTACCAAGATAGGTTTAACAAAAGAAAGCAAAGGAGCAATAATCACAGAAAAACTGTATTTAATAAGAAATAATATTCACATAAACGGCTTTGATATTTCTGCACACATAAATGCCAGAGAGTCAAATGCACAGTGAATTAGAAAAACATAAAAGGCAGAAAATGGAGGCAGCATGTTAATTAGTCAGAGGTTTCCTGGTGAAGGTTTTATTTTCACAACAGTTAATAAATTATTACTCATGGATAAAGCAGATCATGAGTACTGATGATCATGCCACTCAAACTCTGTAAGTCCTGCAGAACTAGTTTTCTGTTTTACCATAAGTCAAATCATTTTTTCTCTTTAACTGAGGCGCTGAAAAAAACAAAACAAACAACAAAAAAAACCACTTTGTGCAGCAGCTACAGTGGTGTGATATTTCATTATTACCTGTTTGTCACACTTAATGTTTCAGATCAACAAACAAATTTAAATATGAGACAAAGATAACAAGTAAACACAAAGTGTAGTTCATGAATGAAGGTCTTTGAGGGGGAAAGAAATGCAGACATGCAGGGCCCTGTGTGAAAAAGTAAACCACAGTGGTTTATCACATTTATGGAAAGCTAAATTTAATTTCCCCAAGCCACACCTGTTCTCAATCAAGAAACCACTTAAATAAGACCTGCCTGACAAAGTAGAGCTAAATAAAATGGAAATAAACTCAGAATGAATGAGAAACAAAGTAATTGAGATCTATCAGTCTGGAAAAGGTTATAAATCATTTCTAAAGCTTTGGGACTCCAGTGAACCACAGTGAGAGCCATTGTTCACAAATGGTGAAAGTATGGAACGTTGAACCATCCCAGGAGTGGCCGGCCRACCAAAATGACTCAAAGAGCGGAGCGACAGCTCATTCTGGAGGTCAGAAAGACTCAACAACCACACCCAAAGAACTGCAGGCYTCACTGGCCTCAGATAAAGTTCAGGCCTCCACCATAAGAACAAAACTGGGCAAAACTGGACTGCATGGCCGAGTTCAAAGACAAAAACTACCACTGAGCAAAAAGAACATTAAGGCTCATCTATTTTGACATCTTGATGATCCCCAAGACTTTTGGGAGAATACTCTGACGACTGRCGAGACAAAAGCTGAACTTTTAGGAAGGTGCAAGTTACTTTACATCTGGCGGAGAAGTAAAAGCCTTTCAGGAAAGGAACATCACAACAGTAAAAGATGGTGGTGGTAGTGTGATGGTCAGGGGCTGTTTTGCAGTTTCAGGACCTGGAAGACTTGCTGTGGTAAATGGAACCATGAATTCTGCTGGAGGAGAAAATCAGCCATCTGTTGAAGTGCACATGGGTTCTGCAGCAGGACAATGATCCAAAACACACCAGCAAGTCTCTGAATGGCTTAAGAAAAACAGATTTAAGACTTGGGGTTGTGCAGCACTGTAAAAGACTTGTTGCCAGTTATCCCAAACACTTGGTTGCAGTTTTTGCTGCTACAGGTGGCTCAACCAGTTTTTAGGTTTAGGAGACATTTACTTTTTCATACAGCGCCCTCAGTGTTTGGATTTATTTTCTCCCTAATAATAAAGACCTTCATTTCTGAACTGCATTTTGTGTTATCTTTGTCTCATACTTAAATTTGTTTGGTAATCTGAAACATTTAAGTTGGACAAATATGTAAAAAAAAATAAAAAAAGTAATCAGAGCGGTGCCAAACACTTTCACTCCACTGCTCGACTGGAGGTAAAACATAGAGGAAAAGTCTGGAGCAGCACTGTTATTGATTTAATAAAGCGATCTTTCTGATTCCTCTGAACAGAGGCCAAATGAACTGCTGTGGGTCTGTTCATTATGTGACAGCTGCACATCAGTGAGTGGTGACTTTGTTATTTATGATGACCACATCTATAATTTGGGACTAAGCTTTCATCTGAGACATTGGGCCTCATTGCAAGAACCGTTCATACGCACAGATTTGTTCTTAAG